CCAAAAAAGAATGTACTTGTGTTGTATTTCATGAATTGAAATGTACTCAGATTGACATGTTGCGAACAACGTATATCAGGAAGACCTATAGAAGCTGGGTTTATACACGATGCAACCGTATTCTGCAAAAAGCGCCAATAAAGTAGGCCCGTTACCTTGTGGAGGTAAGCATGTTGCCATTGACGGAGCCGAAGGTGGACAGCGCCACGGCGATTGGCATGATCAAGGCAAACTGGCCCAATACCTTGCTGCCGAAGGTCTGCTCGTGGTAAGAAGAAACTCACGTAATTCGAAATGCTTGAAAAGAGTGAGTGCGGACAATCAAATATATTAAAACTGATGACGTGTAGTGCATAAACAGAGGGAATATGACTCATTTTGTGGTCTTTGTCCGCAGGTGTGGGCGCTGCAAGCTATATGAACAGTGGCACGGCAAAATCTGATTTTTTTGTGCAATCCATTGACCAGAATTTGACACCATTATTACACCGGTTTCAAACATATCCCCGTGCCGTTTTCGGGCGGGTTGCTTACCACTGCGACCGCGTTCGAAGTCAGCAGCTCCTGCGGCGTCATTGCTGTGAAATAGGCCACATTGGCAAAGGTGTAAATGATGGTCACAGAAAATACGGTAATGTAGATTGCTCGCGGAAGGTTTCTGAAAGAAATTAACACAACATTTTTTGATCGTAGCGATTCCGCTAAAATTACACTTGTGAATCCGTTTGTATATCCTAATTTTTGCTTTTTCTCCGCTGGTTAATGACTCTGTCCAATCATAGATGAGAGTCTTCAAAAATTCAAACTGCTTTTTAAGGACAAATAAAATCAATGTAATGTTCTGCAAATTCTGAGTGCGAGGCGCGCTTTTTTAATGTTTCGACTGACATGTCGGGAAAAACTGTGAATGCAATACGCGCGTTTAACAGTAGTGCGCCACCAAGAGTTTGCAACGCGTTGGCCAATCACAATGCGCGAAATCTATCGACCCAACGTCTGGATTGTGAATCGCCCGGATTAGTTTATACTGGCGAAGATTGCATTCCAATATTAATATCAAACGTGCACCTACTTGTTTGGATCTTTCAACTCTTCCACTACGATATTCAAACTGGACCTGCGATTGCATGAAAGATAACAATGATTGGATACACGATAGTCTGTGACAACAACTACGGTTTAAAAATGACAGTAGTCCTAACGCGATAGAATTAGTGTCGTCACAAACGAAGAGGGCACTAGAAACAAGAAGGTCGTGTTAACACCTGAATATGATCAGCCTTGGAGGTAAAAACTTGAAATTCATCGAGTTGGTACTAAAAGGGTATTCTTTATATTTACTGCTTTGAACATGAAATCGGGGGAGAAGATTTGGTGAAATTCAAGTACATGTATACTGTCCCCTACGAAAAAAAAGTTGTACGAATAAAATGTGACTGGCTCTGCAAAAATGGCCCTTGGGCTCTCGTGTGACAAATTGATTTTAAGTGATGCCTATGGATGGGGAAGCATTTTAATAAGGATTAAATTTATGAATTTTCGACCTGTGTCCCTCATTCAATTTTCCGAAATACAGTAAAATTTAGAACTGATCTCTGGCAGATGTGTGGAATGGTCTGTCACATAAAGAGGCATAGCGCGACTTAAGGGCCTTTTTGCAGAGTTGGTCGCAAATACATACACAAAATATTCTTTTTCAGTGAAATATTTCTTTCCGACTCAAACTGAAGCCCGAAGAGTATTTAACCCACACCCAGCGTCTGCCTGAAGGACCTTTAGCCACATTCATAACACCACACTTTTGGGCATCATTACGAACTAGACAAGACTCGATATGTTTTAACTCAGATCTGTTTCATCACCACTGTTATAGGACAGGATCAAACGGGTGTTTTTTTTTCCTTTTTGGGTGGACTGCGGGATTTGGGTTCAATAATAAAGATGCAGGGTAGATAAACGTTCAGTGAAAGAGTTCCGGAATCGATTCTGCGATGTCATCTCATTCAGACAGCCGAAAGAACATCTTCACCTCCGTTAAGTGACGGTTAGAGCATGCAGTAACTTTAATCGGAAAGAACTTCGGAAATCAAACTTAATTCAGTCTGGATTCCACTCAAAATCGCCCGGTTATAAAACAGACTTACCAGCCCGCGTATGAGAAAAGTCCGGAAAACAGCGCGTTCCCAAGCCCGGAAAAAGTGGAGCCTTCAAAAGCATTCTCGAAATTCCGCGTCTCGCCTACAACAAAGAAGTGCTAACATTATGTCTTTACAAACTCTGGTCCATATAAATAGGCCTAACACCAAAGCAATAATTAAAACGTTTCAGCAAAGTTCATTGACGAATTCTAAAACACTTTCATCAGCTATCGAAACAAGTTGATCATGCAAGTAAAGACACACATGCCATTCAGGGGAAAAACGAAATCCAGTTTGTTGGTAACATATGTACCTTGAATCAACTGCACGATACCGGTGACTATGATGATGACCAGTGCGACCACCTTGCAGACGGAGAAAAAGTTTTGGACGAACGTGGACAGGCGGGTACTCAACACGTTGGTCATTCCCAGTAGCACTGTACGAAATCAAAACAAAAACTCACAACAGAAGGAAGGATATGACACCCGTAGGTCTTGATCTGGGCCGACCGACGAGCCTAGGGGTTGTTGCATCTGTAGACTCTTTTTATGCGAATACCCACAAGATATTGGCCTGGCTCGATTCTAACTCAAATCACAATGTGGATTGAGTCTGCCAGCCCTGCTTAACCAAGGATATTCATTCCGAGGTTCAAGTGTAGCTGTTATATGTTTTTCGAATAAATGTACAGTACACAGTGTTTGAACTTTGTGCTCTCCTTCAATGTGCGATAAATGCATCGAAAAGTACAAAGCCGCTGTTACGGTGTCATGTCATCCAGGGAAGACATGGGTCTCTGCATGGGTTTTTCTGTTAAACCTGTGAAACTAGAATTGACTTACTAAAAATTCCCAGAAAGGGACCTGGGGATTGTTTATTGCTATGCAATTAAACAATATCGTTTCAGCCAAATTCAGTCCAGCAAAGCAACAATTTTGAGGGACTTCTTGAGCATAACCAATGAGGTTTTCTTCCTCATGAATATGGAAATCTCATTTGCATAAAACCAAAAAGACAGTAAAAACGCCCCAAGAAACAGTGAAACAAGAGTTGAAATAAGGTTAATGGAGACACAAAGGTGCCTATTTTGAAGATTTGTACTCAGACAAATTGACTGCAGGTACTGTTTAACATCCTTACACCTACACCTGTCTATTGATTGACGCAGTTCCTGATGAATCACGTGTAGGCCTATTCAATAAACAGCGTAACTACTTCTGTCTTGAAAACGTAGTTATCTGATACTGTTATTTAGGAAGCGTTTGTTAGTCAGATAAATATTTCTAAAATAATAAAAGTACATCAAACTTCTCTACATTTGTATGGCTTACATATTACAAGAGTTCCTAGGAGCTGAGGCATGATCTGTGGCGGTGGGCAGGTGGGGTCCGGGTAGAGAGGCTGTAGGCAGTAGTTACCGAACGTCAAGGCCACCACGGCAAAAGACGACGGCTGAACCATCAGGATCGCGGTCCACATCAGAAGGAAAGCCACCAGGTCGCCGTAGATGGCCTTCAAGTAGGCGTAGGCCCCGCCGGAGGAAGGCCAAGTCGTGCCAAGCTCGGCGTAGCACAAAGCGCCCAGCAGCGAGAACACGCCGCAGACGACCCACAGGACCAGGGACAGCCCCACAGAGCCCGCGCCTCTTAGCACCCCCTTCGGCGAGACAAAGATCCCCGAGCCGATGATGATGCCCAGGTTGATGCACACCCCGCTAAAGAGCGAGATCGTTCGCTTAACCTCGACCCTCGAAGAACCTGTTGTCTCCTGGGTATTCATGGACGACTGGTCGGCCTCACTTTTCTCCATCTTGAGAAAGCTACCCCTTCTCAAATTTCTGGCCTGAGAATTGTACAATATACTCAACAAAACATTTAACACCCAGCAAGTTTGGATTCGAAATGTGTTGTGTATGGTATACCAATCAAGGCTTTTATCAACACTGATATGTATGCAAGTACTTTATTCAACAAACTCCAATTTACAATCATAATTGTGTCAAGTGTGGAATCAAAGGTTAGTTTACCCTTCAGAAGTGCCATTGACTTTGCTAAATTGCTCTGTTTTCATTATTGTATGAAGTATTTAAATTTTTGGAGTGTGGAAGCGGTGTCTCTTTGATCTATGGTAAAACCTTTAAACTTCAATTGTGTTTACAACCCCGGCCCAACTGACACAGTTGAGCGTGCCCACCTTTGGTTGGAAAGTATACACCTCAAGAAAAGGGACGTGGCATCAAGAGGTATGGTGAAAGGATCACAGTATCGCAGGCAAAAAATTCCAAACGGAGCAGAGGAGCTGACGGGGGACAGAAAACTCAGCTATGTCGGCAAAGTTGGGCATGCTCGGCAACGGCAACAGTCGTTGACGATGGTGAGACATTTTATTCAGTGCTGTCATTCTTACATGCCGACACTGTTACGAAATTATTGGTACAGAGGAGTACAAATTGATCAAGATACAATAAAATATACAGGTGGACTTAATTTTCCAAGCAAGATTAAATGACACCATTTAGGCGTATAGGCATTGTAGGGTTAATGGTTGGGGCTTACCGAAACCAACATTTGGTTATTTCTTTCAACCTGTAATGGAGTATAATAGAAAAACCGTTTCCCCGTTGTGACAGTATACCTGCTTTAAATCAATGAACCTGTAATCCCACGCCATCTCGGTGTCTCGTTCCTGCTTACGTACACTTCCTCCGCGCCGCACACATAACGGAATTTGTACGGCGCCTGAAAAACATAGCGCCCTCAATTGAAGAGGTAAATAGCGGCCCGGTTGCAGGCCAGTAACTTCGCTCGTCGCCCAGTGCCCAAATAGGGCGGGGGGGGGGGTTAGGAAGCAGAAATTAACCACAATGCTCTGCACGTCGTTACCTGTGACCCGTGACCCTGTGTGACGTATTTCCTTCACTAAGATCTGTGGAGGGCCATCAACCCTTCCTAGCGCCCTGCAGGCCAAATCACAATTTGTATGCACTCAAATTCTCTACGAAATAAAGCATTTTGTCTCCCATGAACTTGACGATTTGTAGAAAAGACAGGCTTAAGCGAGTGAGAAGAACACCGGCTTCCGTCTGAGTGAGATTTGGGAGAATTTGGTGCCTGAAAACGGTGTATTTTTCGAGAAGTGTAAAGGTATCGGTATTTGAAACTGGCGGGGGGCTCCACGACTGCTTTGGGGTAAGCTTCTGCGGAAAAGAAATGTCTTCAAAAGTCATCGGTTAATGATTGGAAATTTGAAAAGAAAAAAAAGTCACAAAATGGGCTTTAGTTTGACGTGCGTCCCGAACGCCTGAGAAACTCGTATATTATTCCTGATTTGTCTGAGCTCAGGTATCTATCACTGTTGCCTACGGCAGTCAAGTTATTTACTGGCCTGCAACCGTATTGAAAAAGTAAATAGCGTCCTCTGGTGATCTGATTGATAGTGTTATGTCGGCAGATTCGAAAGATTCGTTTTACTCATTCGAATCATATTGATCGATACAATAAAAATTTAGTGAAGAAGTCTTGTAGGGCTACATTGAATCCTTATCCATTACACAGTACGTGTACACTAGAGAGGTCTATCTGCCCTTAGCAGAACCCCCTCACCGGTTGAAAAGCGCCATGTTGGTTAGGGAGTATTCATTTTGTTGGTATAACGATGCGACCGCAACGCTTGCATTTCATGGTCGTTCGTGAACCAGCGATACGCAGTAACTACCAAAAGGGATCCGTTGCTGGGAAATTGCGCCCTCTAGTGGTCCAGCTTGGATCCTATACAAATTGCCGTAGTGCGCGCGATGCTTACCCGTGAGTGACGCCACGCTTGCGGTCTATGAACAGGTTCACGATACGGGGTGAGGTTCTTTGGCAAAATTTTGGAGTCTAGAGTTGCTCTCATTCTAGATAACCATTATAGCCACTAGACACATGAGATACTTAAATCCACATCGAAGTTACTCAAGCGTAAAAAACGTAGGATTTATTCCGATATGCTAAAACTGTGCACGTAAGTACATGTTGAACGTATGACATGTTAAGTCTGGAAAATAGTTCTGGACAGTTGCAAATTACATGTATATACTCTACACTCTACTCAGGAACCGAAAAATGTAAACTTCAGACAAAACTTCATCATGGCAAATGAAAAGTACTCCGTGCACACTATATTCTGTCGGTAATAATTACGCGTATTAATGCACCTGATGCACTTTTATCTCCGGCGTTGAATATCATTTCATCAGAGAAATCTTAGGTGTAATTACATGTATGAAGATCTTCAACTCCAAATAAACATTTTTAAACAGACACGTCGAGTGTTCTTGCGTTCTTGGCAATCTCGGAAAGATATTCAGAAATCTAATTGTATAATCCTACATCAACCATTTGGCAGAGGACTGTCTAGCGAAATATTCTCCGACAATGAGTAATTTGGTTTCCTTTTAGAAGTTAGTTTCACAATTACTGATCACAGACATATAACATTCAATGACGGGTGTTTGTTCGGCTCAACGTTTCTCACGCATACAATATGCGAAACAATCAGCATGGGGAGCCCAACTTACCAAGCTTGAATACAGGCAAAATGTACTGCCCTTTGTGTGTGTGTATGTATGTATGGCGTCGCCATCTGCGCTGGGGACAACGTCACATTTTTATTTGTAAGCCGGATGATGAAAACGAACGACACCGTAACATCCGACATCTTCTTTTTCATGAACACACACACCCACACTTTTGTTCCTTTCATTTTTTACAGTCTGTACGATGTATTTTAGTTTAATGGCTTTCAGTGGCGCTGTATAGGAATGAAACGATATTTTGACAGAGTACGTTTTGTGCTTTGGTATTTAAGCAACATTTTAAAGGTGCATATGTACCTCTAAAAGTTCGTTTAACAAATCGTGAAATGGATTAAATTAGTTGGGGGGAATGTTCAATGGAAATTGAAAGTTTCTTGGAGACAAAGTAAAATTCGTAGGCCTATATAGGTGTAATGATTCCAACTTTACTTTCACAAAATGAATGGATAAAGGATGGCTATTTGTAAGAATCAATAACTGAAAAGAATTTACACATAACTATCCATTAAAGCAAAAGTAAAAAAGTATGATAATATACATAAACAAATTTCACTGACATAATTGAAAGTTTCAAAAAAGGGGGTTTTAGGCAATCTTCACTGTCGGATGTGTCAAAAAAAGAAATATCGAATATTTGAAATATTTCGTGTTAAAACAAAATTTGCTGTCAAACATTACATCCACTGTTGTCTCATGTAGTTTGATAAATTAATTTTGTAGTAAATTAAAATAAGGGTAAATACAATGGTCGTTATAACCAAACTAGGCTACATTGAGATGTCTTGTATAAGGAGTAACCAGAAATGGCCAGTGAGTCTGCATCAACACACCAGAGCTACACTGACGGTGAGGAGGCAAGTAGTAAGTAGGTGAGTACATAATCTTACCTCCGAGAAGAAAAACCACGGAGTCCATCCTTGTCAGTCTATTCTCAATCTTTTTCCTCTTTGATGACCAGCAGAAGCCTCTGGAACCATGCTGTCACAGAGTCTGGAGAGAGAAAGAACGAAAAAACCGCGCAATTTATTACACCGTGGCGCCCTCTTGGTCAATCGTCACTGGGAGCGCAATAATAGGGCCTACATGTACACAAATGTACATTATGTGGAATGACAGTTTGTCTCCCATTCGTCTATATCATATGAGATTAGGTCTCTTGGACCAGAAGAATTATTCCTCGTTTGTATCAACAGACGTTAATTTCTTCCCTTCGACTACATCTGGGCACAAAATAAATGAAAACCTTGTATTCCAGCCAGCCATCTGGGTAAGCGTTTCGGGTAGACCAGCAGGAAATAGACTGGTATCCCAGTCAGCGTGATGCCCACCCCGATGGCGGTGTCGATCGGGGAGTCGATGGTCCCTATGACGATGAGAAAGATGCACGCTGCCACAAACAGGACGGCTATGATGATGTTGACCTATCAAATGAGCCACAGAAGAGATAGATGAGATGTACCTGTATGAGTACAGAAAGTGAATACATGCACCCGACCGATCACTTAATCGAATAAAGAACATGTTCACGGCAAACATATCACTATTTCCTTCAATACTGAGAGGTTTTCTTTCAATCCTCGAACAGCTAGTAGAATGTGCATGTATATACGCAGCAGTAGGGTTCGTTTAAGCAAACAAACTCCGGTTCAATGTGCATTTAATTCCTGCACGTGCTTGTAAACTCGATGGTGTAAATACAGTGGCCCAAAATTAACCTCTGACCTTGAAGGGGCGTGGCTTGTCGGGCTCCCTGTAGCGAGCCCAGATCATTCCCGCTACAACGGCTCCATTCGACGTCCACGTGACTAAACTGGAGTAATTGATCAGAGTGTAGACGTCATTGGAGAAGGTGTAAATTACACACAGGACGACCTAGAGAAAGGAGACGAAACAATAAAACGAAAGATTTGGCAGCTTAGCAGAAACGAAGATACGCCTAATGAAGCTCAGTTTTCCAAACTGAAACAATTGAAAATCATACTTCAAGTATGAGACCAGTTGTACTTTGATTGCACACATTTAAAAAGTTTGACCTTAAGCATGATGACCAATAGAAACAAACCTGTTTAAGACCACTAAGGAATGATTTCCCCCCTGTTCTTCTGTTACCACATGTACCTAATGTTAGACCTATCTGAAGCTGACGAATATTTCTGAGCAACCTTTTCCTTCATTTCTGTCCAACTGAACTAAGTCTCCCACTTGGATACGGGTCTTCAAAAGTTCTCATCCGTTTGTTTTGTTTTTTTTTGCAGACAGGCACGTGGCCTGCTACTGGCAAGCAATGTGACTGGATGTCGACTTTTACCAAGCACAGTTTCTGCCGAATCTAACGTCGCCACCCTCATGAGCCAGCAGCAGCCTTGGGTAACCCCGCCCACTCGTATAATGTACATGCTGGAGCCTTTCTTTCCCTTCACGTACCGGGAGAAAAAATGTAGGCTTGTATGATAAGGACTTACCGTAACAACAATGGACGGAAGAGGAGTCAGGAATTTGATGTGGATCATCGACAGAAGCGAAGGGAGGTGCCCCTCTCGGGCGCCGACATAAAAGAGTCTTGTCAAAAATGGCCATGTGGGGGGAAAAAAGGAAAGATGTGTACCTGTGTTGTATCTCATGAATTAAGAACTGTAAACAAAAACATGAAGTAAATCAACTGGGTAATCTTTTATACACGATGTAACATTCTGTTCAATCAAAAAACCGCAAAATACCTGGGCAAGATGAGCAAGCTGCCATTGACTGCGCCAAAAGTGGACAGCGCCACAGCGATCGGCATGATCAAGGCAAACTGGCCCAACACCTTACTGCCAAAAGTCTGGTCAGGGTAAAAAAAAAATATAAAAACTCAAGAACATTTACTGGGAAAACAAAAGGATGACGACGAACTGGAGCAAAACAAGCTTGGACAGTCGAAGTATTTTAATGCTGATGAGTTAAGGCATAAACATGATCTGGATGAAGATACATCGCACATTAAAAACAATTGCAGAGCAACATACGATTCCGTATCATAGAGTAAAACATTAAACTTCCGGGCCAAAGAATGTGTACGCTGATGGCACACGTTATGTGAAAAGAACCCAGTTATCATCCTAGAGAAAATGGCCCTTGTAGGCTACATACGTCATGCACCATAGTCAACAATTATCCCAAAACTACAAGCATCTAGGCCTATAGCCACGCACCAGAAACGATAGTTTGTGAGAAGAAGTTTTTGAGCTGCAGCCCTTTAATCCTCCTGTGCAAAGATGCATTCTTTATCGGTTTTTGTACTGTGCTAAGAAAGTGGAAGGAATTTGTTTCACAGTTTTTGACAGTTACAGAAAAAGGAGGGACAAGATCTTGAAAACGCACCCCGGGCCGTTTTTAGAATATTTGCTTACCACTGCGACCGCGTTTGAAGTCAAGAGCTCCCGTGGCGCCATTGCTGTGAAATAGGCCACATTGGCAAAGGTGTAAATCATGGTCACAGAAAACACGGTGATGTAGATCGCCCGCGGAAGGTTCCTAAAATAAATTAACACAATACATTTTGATTCAAAGTGTCTCTGCTCAAAAGCAAAAAAAAAAACACCTTGCATAGGCCTATGTATACTGTCCAATAACGGGATAAGATTTCTCCCCTCAAAATATAAAGGCACCATGGAATGAAAATGTTTCACTGAAACCCTTGCAATTGCACCTTTGGGTTTCACTTGACGTGATTTTAAAGTTTGTTCGGAATCTCAACTCATTTTTGGGACACTTTTTATTGGGTATTTTGCTAATGAACAGTTGCATATTCATGAGCAAAACTATAATGTCATCCAAAGCAGTGAATCTCAATGCTGCACCAATTAGTGCACGGAAAATGTCTGGATTTTTTTTAAACACTGCTATCGTAGATTTAGTCTCCTTTCTCAATTTTTTGTTAAGTATATGACGATAAGTCAGCTAACAACCTTTACGCAGTAATGTTTTCAGACAGAATATTTGGAGATAACAATTTGAACATGAAAGCGTGAACCATGTCTTCCAGAATTTTCAAAGCAAATGCCAGGTCAATTTTGAATGTTTAAAAAGTGCACATTTAATATAATTCAAAAAAGAGCGTTTAATCGTCTTTATACAATGAAGGAGAGTGCAGAGGTTGGGCCCATTCATAAAAAGTGCTTCTAACAACAATTCATTTCATGGGTCCTTTAAACTACTTCATGAAAGAAAAACCAACTCAAAAAATGTTCACAGTGTACGACACTCTAAGTGCTGGCTGCGCTTATTTTGACCACGGTGTCCAGAAAAAAATTCATGGCAATCATCTTATAGACTGGCAATAATTGATCATTATTTGAACTAACACTTACTTGTTTGGATTTTTCAACTCTTCCGTCACGATGTTCAAATTGTGCCTGCAATAGCAGGAACACAAAGGTATGAACAAATGACAAGAAGTCAAACTGTGGTTAAAATTATGGCAATCACTATTTGGAAGACCGAGTTAATGGTGTCATCCAAACACTCGAAGCCATAACATGATCGTAACAACTGGATAAGCCCAGTTCTTATTGCAAATTACGGCTTTAGGCATGAAATCGGGCAAGATGATTTTGGAGGAATTAAGTATATGGCCCAACAATAGTTATATAAATGACAGTATGGCACATACTTCTTTAGAAAATGGTGTTTTTTTCAGTTCAGACAAAAGCCCAAAGAGTTTGAAAAAATCATCCTCAGATCTTTTAGTAGTCAGTCTATGAATTATTTCAACGAAATATGTCGAGACGTCTTAGCATCATGACGAAAGAAATGAGACTTCACATCTTTTAACGGCGGCCTGTTTCTTAATCATCTTTTAAATGAACCAGGAAATAGAAATATTTTTATAAATTTTACTAAAAACCCTTGAAACTGCATCATTAGGCTTCAATTAACCTCATTTTAAATTTTTGTTTTGCAATCTTAATCAATATTTTGATGGTTTTTGGTTTTATGCTAATGCTATTTGCATATTCATGAGCAGGACTATGATGTCATCCAAGGCACTGAATCTCTACGTTGCAGTGATTTGTGCACAGCAAAATTTCTAGATTTCTTTAACCACTGCTATGGCAGATTTCACTTTCTTTGGCAATTTATTACCGTGTAGGTATATGGCAATAATCAAGCAAAAATCCTTTTCACAGAAATGTTCCCAGATAGCAGATTTTGGGTTCACAATTTGAACACGAAAACATGCAACCTGAACGATGTCTTCCTGGATTTACATCAAAGCAAAAGCGCCCCCATTCGTCAAGAAATGCTTGGTCAATTTTTAATGTCTGAAAAAGTGCACCTTTAAGTTCACCTAACTCAAAAAAGATGTCAAACAGTCTTCATACATGGAAGAAGAGTACAGAGATACACAAAAAGTGATTCTAAGAAAAATCCATTTCCTGGATTCTTTAAGAAAACAAACAATTTTTTTTTCTGTTTTGGGATGGGGAACGATATCAAAGCAGATGGGTAGGTCTGCGTGCTGATTGGTTCAATCATAAAGATGCAGGATAAAGACGAATGTTCAGTGAGTGGATACCACAACTGATTCTGTGATTCCATCTCATTCAGAGGGCCGAAAGAACATTTTGATCTCCATTAGAGTGACAGACCACGCAGGAACGTTTTCATCGTTAAGAACTTAGCCGACTTACCAGCCCGCGAACGCGAAAAGTCCGGAGTACAGTGCGTTTCCGAGTCCGGAAAAAGTTGAGCCCTCAAAGGCGTTCTCGAAATTCTGCGTCTCGCCTACAACAAGGAAAAACATATACTAACATTATGTTTGCCAAATGTCAATGGTCTTACAACTTGCCCATGTAAAGAGGCCAAACGCCAACTCAATAATGAGATAGTTTTAGCAAAGCTAAGTGACGAATTTTACGACATTTTAATCATCTAGCGAAACAAGTTCATTGTTTAAGACATGTATGCCATTTCCGGAAATGAAATCCAGTTTCTTAGTAACATGTACCTTGAATCAACTGCACGATACCGGCGACTATGATGATGACCAGTGCGACCACCTTGCAGACGGAGAAAAAGTTTCGGACAAACGTGGACAGGCGGGTACTTAACACGTTGGTCATTCCCAGTAGCACTGAACGAAATAAAACCAGTTACTCAAAGCATGAGGAAAAGGAAATAATACCCGCAAGTCTTAATTGGACCCGACAGACCAGGCTAGGGCTTAGCGTCGGATTTTTAGGGGTGAATATCAACCACAGATTTCGCTGTTTCGATTCCCACCAACTGCACCATGTGGACTAGGCCTGCCTGCCCGCGGATAGGCCGACTAGGAAGAATCTGTCCGAGGTTTCCTTTACGTATACACCCTGAATGAACTTGCCTCGTAAATAATCATGAATAGTGAGTAAACTGTCTTGAAAACCTATTCATATTTTCAAATACTGTTATTTAGTTCAGGTTTGATTCAACTAAGCAAGCGTCTAAAAGTGTTTTCAAGGCCGAAACTATTGATTAGCGAATAACAAAAAGTACCCTAACTTCTCTACATTTTGTATGGCTTACATATTACAAGAGTTGCCAGGAGTTGAGGCATGATCTGTGGCGGTGGGCAGGAGGGGTCCGGGTAGAGAGGCTGTAGGCAGTAGTTACCGAACGTCAAGGCCACCACGGCAAACCCTGCCGGCTCAGACATCAAGACGGAGATCCATATCAAGAGGAAAGCCACTAGGTCGCCGTAGATGGCCTTCAAGTAGGCGTAGGCCCCGCCGGAGGAAGGCCAAGTCGTGCCAAGCTCGGCGAAGCACAGCGCGCCCAGCAGCGAGAACACGCCGCAGACGACCCACAGGACCAGGGACAGCCCCACCGAGCCCGCGCCTCTCAGCACCCCCTTTGGCGAAACGAATATCCCCGAGCCGATGATGATGCCTATGTTGACGCACACACCGCTGAAAAGCGAGATTGTTCGCTTCAGCTCAACCCTCGAAGAGACCGCTGTCTCCTGGCTACTCATGGACGACTGGTCGGCCTGAATTTTCCCCATCCTTAGACAAAGCTATACTCCTGTAGAATTTTCTGACCTCCAAAATGTACCGTCTATTTTACATCATGCTACAGACCGAATTCGCTGACACCATTTCTGGGTCCGGGTGTCCCTGTCGCTCAGCCGCGCATTCCTAAACTTGACGAGCGCGTGATTTTGGTTAGCTGTGCGCTCCCATTGGCTGATGTGCATCTCTTTTGTTCATAAGCGTGGGGGCACTGCAGTAATGTCGCCTGGTTCTTGTCACCGAATCGGTCTATACTTCACACCAAAGTGCTTGGAACCAAGTGTATTGCGTATGTATAATAATCTAAGCTTTTTATCACCATTGACCTATGCAACCTCGTCCAACTCCAGTGTTGAATCATTTTCGTACGTTATGCGAAGTCAAAGATCAATTTCCACACCAGATGTGCAGTGACGTCGCTTTGACCTTAGGCAGCGCGGGGCAATGGCAGTTTCTTTCAACCGTCCGATATTATACGCCTGGCATTCTCGCTCCATCCAGAAAGGGTTTGAGAAATATGACATGCCTGCACCACATTTATGTTCGCCCCAGTCTCGCGATGCCAAGCTTGCCGACGAAATTCCGTAACACTTAAACCCAGAAAAGCATTCAGTTGACTCACTGCAAAAGTTCTTGTGTAGTGACCCCATGCTAATGGGCGTACTAAAAATAGATATTATAGCTAAAAAGAGGTTTAGTATAATTCTAGTGTTGAAATTCGCACAGAACTTTGTAAAAGCATTAACCATTACATCGGTTGCTGCAGTTCACTAACTGCACCAAGATTATACTTTATGTAATAAAATCAATATACGTATTCTTCTTACTATTATAATGCTGATTCCGTACAGACTTTTATTATCTGCAAGGTTAAACCAGTATAATACATTCTTAAAAAAAAGCAAAGGCAAAGGAACTCTAACATTAAAATTCATACTCAATTATATCTGGATCCCCCCTCCCAAAACAAAATTCTCCAAGTTGCATTTTTGCTTGTTAGGTACCGGTGACTTGCCACATGACATCAGCATTAAATTAAATTAGCAATACTAAGCACAACTGTTGAATGGCGTGAAATATATATATTTTTTTCAAAAAGGTGGCACAGGAGTTAAAAGGTGATCGGCATATGAATTTCCATTACAAATTGCAAGCAGTCACTAAACTGTCACTAGAGCCTGTTATCTGGCAAAATAATCATGCCATATCCACTTACAGTAGCGCCATTTGAGTTGGTCACGTCACATACTAAGTTACTGGCTTGATGTTGGGATTTCAAGCTATTCATAGTGACAGACAACCAAGGTGGAAAGCTTGCGGTAGCACCATGCAAGGATACGATCTCTTTGAAAAGAACCGTGAGGAACTCTTAGGGTTAGAGTTCCTCACGTTCTTTTCAGAACCATACAGACTCCCAAAGAGATCGTATCCTTGCATGGTGCTATCGCAAGCTTTCCACCTTGGCTTAATGTTAAACTCTTGAGCACACTTTACTTACTCAGGGTGCTTTTGAATGGGAATCCTTTCTATGACTTATGTTCCTTATTCTTAAACGTAACGAAAAGTTATACCAGGTTTATACATAAAATAATTATGAGGTAAGCAGCAATCAGAAGAATCTAAAAAGTTTCATCAATTTTCCCCTCATCACATTGAGTTGTTAGTTGTGGTCAGGCCCAGTGGAAGTGAACCATATTCTGAATTGTTAAGGCTGATAATCAATTACAGAGAAATTTTAAATTGTGCCACAAACATTCCGACATCCCTTTCCAGAGTGTCATTCATAACACAAAGTATCCATTACTGTGACAACACAGATACATACCTTTTTAGCTGAAATTCTTTCATCCATTTTTGAATAGACATGTCTGAATGGGGCTTCCGCTCAGTCCGTGTACTGCTGCAGCTATTATATGGAAATATAACAAGAAATAGTAAATCCAATAATTGAACTAGTTGCGCCATGTTTTCTCTTTTTAAAGGTTTCTCTTTTTAAAATAAAAATTACTGTCTGCTTGGTGTTACATCAAGCAAAGGAAAAAGTCCTCCACTGCACGGACAAGGTTCTTGGTTCAAGGTTCTGCATGGTTCGTTGTTCTTCATTGCCCATGGGAAAAACAAAGAACATGTGAAAAACAGGAGAGTAACAGTGGTGTTTTCACAATAATGGTAAAACACATGGATCAATGGGATAAAGTACATGATATATATTGTATATTATTGGAGCTGGGTAAACTGCTTCAATTAGCCTAAAGTTTCAAGTTTCAAACAAGAAAAACCATTGTGGTTTTACCCTTGGCCTTTCGGGCTTAAATGCAATAGGCTTGTGAGATTTGCCCAAAGATTGATAAAGCCCTTGCCGCATCAGTCACATGCATTCTCCTCAGCCGGTTTTAAACAGATGTTTACAACTAGCCAAGGGCAGGTACATGTAAAGTTCTTCCCTCATTAAATACCTTCTCAGTTTGCCGAAAATCGTCTGAGCAGCAGAGAAGAGGACTTGCAACAATGTCCAGATATGTGGTCATTCCAAAGGGTCATCTCAAGTTCTAGTAAACAGAAAAATGGATAATCTGAGAATTAAAATTCCAAAGAAGTGTCAGGACGTATTTGAAACATCAAGGCTGCATTTACAGTTTATTCCATAATAATCAAATACCAGGATATTCAGTAAAGCCCTACTATCATGATACATACGATAGTGAGACTTCCGATCAATGCAGTAGGCCTATATGCAACACGACTTCTACCTTTCGACATCATAGGATCATAACAGAGACTGCCGTGGGTGCGGTCAAGTGCTATAAACTGTGGTAAGTACCATAGTATCATCAACACTATCTACAAGAAGCGGGTGATTCTGGTGTTTATACAGTTTCAAAAATGTCGTTCCTGTGGAGGGAGGTATGAAAGTGAGTGCGTAGGCCTACCTGTAGACAGCTTCTCCTGCAAGTCCAGTAGACAAGGATGCAAGAGGTATATACTACATAAAGGAATAATCTCCATCAGTGCTGTGAATGCTTGATACCCGAGTCCAAGTCCGAGTTCATGCCAGCCGAGTTGAAGTTCAAGACCAAGTTCTTACCGCAAGAATCCCAGTCCTTGTGTCCGTGTCCAAGAATGAGTCCTATATGAAACTGTGATTGGGCGTCTGTGCTCTCAGTGGCATCGGTTAAGTACTGGTCACATGTGACACATCTTTACAAGTCAGGATTACACAAGTGGAATTTATTTTAATTTAACTTTATAAACGTTAATCAACATAAGAACTACTTAGATATATATTTATCAGGAAATATAACTTAAATTGGTATTCAACTTAATTTGAGAACTGCGACAAACCGCACTCCTTGGGTCGTATGAAAAAAAACCTAGCAAATGCTATGAAGTTCAAGCAAACAGCAAAAACATTTACTGAGAAGTTCGAGCAAACAGTATAAGCAATTGATTGAATTTGCATGAATAAAATGTTTCTTTTACTGTTCAGCATCTACTTGTACAAATAGTAGCAAATGCGTAATGCTTGTGGCTTACTTCACAGCCGAACGGTTTTGTACAATAGGGCTTCCATTTTACTGTCATCTGTTTTACACCGGCACAATGATGTACATGTGTCTACTTGTACATTTAAGCATACGGAGTACCGTTGTTTACACAGCGCATTTTCCGATTCCTAGCAGGGCTGCCGTGGATCATAATGTACTCACACAGAACACCTATACAGATGTGAGCGTCAGAATTGCACCAGAGCGTAACTGTGGCCTGCACCATGCCTGCACCAAGTGAAGGTCCTCATCATGTGTTCGTCATAATGTGATGGAAAATTCGTCCAACCTGGGCCATAATTACTCATTCAATATCATCACGTAGGTGTGCTGGTGAGTCCACAAAAGACTCATTTCTCACATGTTGTCTTGATACGTGAAGTTACGAAAATAAACGGATCGAAGCTACCACAACTGTGCAGTGCGCTGATATACTCATGTTCACAAGTGTGGCGATGCACTCACGTGCTGCGATCTGCAGCATGTCCGTCCGTGTGACATCGAAAGTCACACGACCTTTTGTATTTCATGAACACGTTTATGTATTTTTACTACTTTTCCTTTGTATTTTGTACAATGTATTTTACATCAATGGCTTTGAACGGTTATCACGAAGGAATAAAAACGACGTTTTTACAGTGTTTATTTTGTGCTTTGGTGTTTAAGGAATTTTTTAAAGGTTTGCAAATGTATACAATGTACATTTACCTCTACAAAGTTCGTTAAACAAATCGTGAAATGGATGAAATTGGTTGGGGTGATGTTCTATCACGGAAATTTAAAGTTTCCGAAGCCAAAGGAAAATTCGTATGCAGATTGGCACCTTACCAAGTTCAATCTACTTTCAGAAATGGACATAAAGATGGCTACTTCACTCAATAACTTAAATTAACTGACACAAAACTATCAAAGCAAAAGTAAAACAAAGCCTGTTATGTACTTATGTATAAAGATTCCCTGACATTATTGAAGATTTCAAAAGAAAGGGTTGTGGCAGTCTTCACTGTCGAAGGTGAATTCAAAAATGCAACATCAAATAATTGAAACTGTTCTTTTTCAAAAATATCTGCTGTACAAAAACGACATCCACCGTTGTTTCATGTGGTCAGATAAATTACATTAACAATAAGGGTAAAAACATTGATCGTTGGAATGAACACTACAAAGCGGCGTCTTGTATCAGGAGCGATCAGAATTGGCCAGTTCTGCATCAACACACCAGCAGGGCGGCTACACAGACGGCTGGAAAGCACGCTGTAAGTAGGTGAATACGTAGTCTTGTCTCCAAGAGGAAACATGTGGAGTCAATGCTTGTACGTCTACTCTTTTTCCTCCTTGACGACCAGCAGAAGCCTCTGGAACCATGCTGTCACGGAGTCTGGAGAGAGAAAGAACGAAAAAAAAAGCACAATTCGTTAAACTTTGGATTAAAAAATCTTCGTCAATCGAGGGGTACATCAATGCTGCCCTGAAGGTTGCCCAGCGCAAAAATAGGGCCTACATGTGTGGAATGACAGTTCGTCTCCCGTTAGTCTGTATCATATGAGATTAGGTCTCTTGGACCAGAAGAATCACTCCTCGTTGGTATCAACACACGTTTATTTTTTTTCTGACTACATCTTGGCACTAAATACTAATGGAAACCTTGTATTCCAGTCAGCCATCTGGGTAAGCGTTTCGGGTAGACCAGCAGGAAATAGACTGGTATCCCAGTCAGCGTGATGCCCACCCCGATGGCGGTGTCGATTGGCGAGTCGATGGTCCCTATGACGACGAGAAAGATGGACGCCAATACAAACAAGACGGCTATGATGATGTTGACCTATCAAATGAGCCATAGAAGAAGATAGAGATGTGTGCATAAGCTAGTACACACGTACACATGCAGTGCACCCGGCCGATCTTTTAAATAAAATAATAAAGAAAACGTTTACGGTAAATGGATCACATGTGAATGAAAAAACCTACACTTGCCGAATGCGTCCCCTTTCAAGTATCCCCCTCACGGAAAATGTTTATAGAGTATGATACGTTGTGTTGTATAATTTATAAACATTCCCTAGTTTGTAATGTTCACCACTAGGGCTCGTTTCAGCAAACATAAGACTTGGGTTCAATGTGAATTCCCACTAAAAAGATAACTCCTGGGTGTACTTGTAAACTCGATGGGGTAAATACAGTACCCCGAAATTAAACCTCTGACCTTGAAGGGGCGTGGCTTGTCGGGCTCCTTGTAGCGAACCCAGATCATTCCCGCCACAACAGCTCCACTCGACGTCCACGTGACGAAGTTGAAGTAATTGATGAGAGTGTAGATGTCATTGGAGAAGGTGTAAATTATCGACAGGATGACCTGGCAGAGAAAAGGAACCAAAGAAAGACTGAAATCAGAAATGAGGCAGTTTAACAGAAACGAAGATACGCTGGATGCTGCCCCGTTTTCCAAACTGAAAGCATTGAAAACCATGGTACAAATGGGCTGAACTTCATCGCACATAAGTTTGACTTCCAAACATGACAATCAGTTCAAACGTCTACTATTCGTTAAGCACACTAAGAAATGATTTTCCCCCATAGCCTTCTGTTATCACATGCACCTAAAGTTATCCCTCTCTGAATGGGGTGAATATATCGGGGCAGCTGATTATTTCATTTTGGTCCAACCGAACTAACACCTCGATTCGGAGATTCAGGAGGCCATTTTCTTTTGCTCACATTTAGGTATAGGGCCTATCGCTGACATCCAATGTGACTGATGTCGACATTACCCGAGCATTTACGTGTATGCATTAAACTTATATCGATTTTAACACCACCACCTTCATAAACCAACAGCAGTCTCGGCCGGGCTAGTCGTTGGAACCCCCCCCTTTACAAGCTGGACCCAGTTTTTCGTCCGTTTGAGACAACTGAGAAGTTTTATTCACGTACAGGGAACACAATGTAGAGCCTCCAAGCTGTGTGTGGACTTACCGTTACGACGACGGACGGAAGAGGAGTCAGGAATTTGATGTGGATCATCGACAGTAGCGAGGGGAGGTGCCCCTCACGGGCACCGACGTAAAAGATTCTTAACAGCAAAACAGCACAAGTTGTGTTATATCAGATGGATTGAGATGTACACAAATTGACACGTTGCGAATGCACACCACGAACAATTTAGTCAAGCAGCTGGGTAAATCTATTATATATGACGTAACATTTTTAAAACAATGCCAAAGGTGGCCTGTTACCTCGAGCAGGTGATCATGTTGCCGTTGACGGAGCCGAAGGTGGACAGCGCCACAGCGATCGGCATGATCACTGCAAACTGGCCCAACACCTTGCTGCCGAAAGTCTAGTCGTGGTAAGAAAAAAAACCCTGAGGGTCATTAACCTGAAAAGGTTGATACCGTATTGGTGCAACACAAGCACTGCGTGATGGACAGTGGCTCGGCAAAACACGATTGCAGATTATACTGAGACACTGTATAACAGACCAAAGAATTTAGATGCTGATGGCAGACATTTTGTGAACTGTACTTTGTTATCCTAAAGAGCAGCTGTAGTCTTGATAGCTGCTTATGTCGTGCACTATCAGCGGCAATACGGGCGATTAACAATAGTGCGCCTCTGAGAGTTGCAACGCCTTGGCCAATCACAATGTGCAAAGTCTGTCGACCCTTTCCAAACGCGTATCGGGTCGACAGATTGCTCGCATTGTGATTGGCCAAGGCGTTGTAAGCTCTTGGAGGCGGGCTATTGTGAAGCGAACGCCCGAATTATCTGTAAACTGCAAGCATCTCGCCACACACGTGCTTCCGAAACGAAATTTTGTCAGTGGAATTTTTTTTAGCTGCCGCCCACTTTCGTGAAAACACACCTCCCATCGTGCCGTTTTCAGGCCGTTTGCTTACCACCGCGACCGCGTTCGAAGTCAGCAGCTCCTGCGGCGTCATTGCTGTGAAATAGGCCACATTGGCAAAGGTGTAAATGATGGTCACAGAAAACACGGTAATGTAGATTGCTCGCGGAAGGTTTCTGAAAGAAATGAACATAGTATCTTTTAGATCACAGTGTTTCCGCTCAAAAGAAGAAGTAACACTTGTGCATCTGTACTGTCCAATCACGGATGAGATTTCCCACCTCAAACTTTAAACTGCTTTATGAAAATAAGGTAACTCAATGAAATATTCTGCAAATCCCGAGTGCTGGACGCGCTTGTTTTGACCAAGGTATCAGGAACAAACTTCGCTAGCAATTATGCCCCACTAACAACAATTGCATTACCCTATTATAATTTAAACCTACACCTACTTGTTTGGATCTTTCAATTCTTCTGCCACGATATTCAGACTGTACCTGCGATAGCATGAAGACAAAGATATGAACTACTGACAATCCGGGACTACAATTAATGTGGTTAAAGAAGATAGCAATCTTTGCACGCCAGGTTATATGGTGTCATCCACGAACGAATACCACACTATAAAGAAGCGATAACATCATCGTTTTAACAACTGAATATGCTCAGCCTAGCCTCGGCTGTAAACATATATTTGTCGCGTCAGTATACTATAAAGATTTTATTGAAAATTACCCCCGGTACTGCTTTAAACATGAAATCGGGCCAGAGGATTAAATTTAAATACACTGCCCCATAAAGAGTTGTATAAGTAAGTCTGAAACATACATGTACTCTTTTTCAATGAAATTCTTCTTTCCAGCTCAGACTAAAGCCCAAAGAGCATTTGACCCAAACCGAGTGCCTGCCTCAAGGATCTTTCAAGCCGACAAATTATTCCAGGGAATATCATCAGACTTCTTCGCTTCATTACGAAAGACCTAAGACTCCTCATATTAACTCATGCCTGTTTCATCATCACCTTTTGGGAAAGGAACAAGCGTTTTTCTTCTTTTGGGGAGGGGAGGTCGATAAAACACATGGGTAGGTCTGCGGGGCTGGTAAATCGAAACATACAAATGAAGGGTATGATATTTCAGTGGGAGGAATTCCAGAACGGAATTGTGCGGTGCCATTTCATTCAGAGGGCCGAAAGAATATCTTCATCTCCATTAAGTGACGGTAAGAGCATGCAGTAATTTTTAATCGTAAAGAACTCCCGGCATGAAACTTAGTTTGCTCCAGATCTCACTCAACATCGCCCGTATAGTAGTCCATCTCTTAAGACCAACTTACCAGCCCGCGTACGAGAAAAGTCCGGAATACAGCGCGTTCCCAAGCCCGGAAAAAGTGGAGCCCTCAAAGGCGTTCTCGAAATTCCGCGTCTCGCCTACAACAAAGAAGTACTAACATTATGTTACTATAAATTATGGTCCATATAAATAGGCCTAACACCAACTCAATAATTAAAACGTTTCAGCAAAGTTCATTGACGAATTCTATGACTTTCGTCATGTAAGATTATTCCATTTAGGAAACAAGAAGTTCAGATTGTTAGAAACATGTACCTTGAATCAACTGCACGATACCGGCGACAATGATGATCAGCAGTGCGACCACCTTGCAGACGGTGAAAAAGTTTTGGACGAACGTGGACAGGCGGGTACTCAACACGTTGGTCATTCCCAGTAGCACTGTACGAAATCAAAACAAAAACTCACAACAGAAGGATATGACATACCACCCATAGGTCTTGATCTGGGCCGACAGACGAGGCCGGGGTCTTACCCTGCATGGCACCGGATTCTGTAACCGTTTTAGATGCGAATATCCGCCAGAGATTCAGCAGGTTCGATTCACACCAGTGGCACAATGCGAATATGAGTCTGACCCGTGCATACCAGGAAGATTCGGTCCGAGTTCTTCTTTATGCATATATCCTGCCTGAACTTGCCTCTTTTATCACGCGTATTCGTAAACTGCATGACTGTCTCAGAAACCTACTTCCCCACATTTTTTCAACTGATACTGTTATTTAGTTAAGGTATAATTCAATTAACGAAGCGTTTAACTGCGTTTCTGGTCGGAAAAATATTTATAAGCTATTTATTATCTCTACATTTGTATGACTTACATATTACAAGAGTTCCTAGGAGCTGAGGCATGATCTGTGGCGGTGGGCAGGAGGGGTCCGGGTAGAGAGGCTGTAGGCAGTAGTTACCGAACGTCAAGGCCACCACGGCAAAAGCCGATGGCTGAGCCATCAGGACAGCGATCCAAATCAGGAGGAAAGCCACCAGGTCGCCGTAGATGGCCTTCAAGTAGGCGTAGGCCCCGCCGGAAGAAGGCCAGGTCGTGCCCACCTCGGCGTAGCACAGCGCGCCCAGCAGCGAGAACACGCCGCAGACGACCCACAGCACCAGGGTCAGCCCAACTGAGCCCGCGCCGCTCAGCACCCCCTTCGGCGAGACAAATATCCCCGAGCCGATGATGATGCCTAGGTTGATGCACACCCCGCTGAAAAGCGAGATTGTTCGCTTCAGCTCAACCCTTGAAGAGCCCGCTGTCTCCTGGCTACCCATGGAGGACTGGTCGGCCTGAATTTTCCCCATCTTTAAAAAAGCTACCCCTACACAACTTTTTAGCGTGCAAAATGTACTACGTTACATCAGTCTATGCCTCACAGCAAATAAGATTGGAATCCAACTGTGTTGCATATGGTAAAATAATCTACTAGGCTTTTTTATCACTGTTGACCTGTATGCAAGCTGATTCAACTGCAGTGTGGAATCATCATTATCGTACCGCGTGAGAAATCAAAGGTCACTTTAGTGCCGGTGACTTTGCTTAATTTCTCGTCTGTCGGGAGCTCGGCGCAGTGACGCTTTTGTTCAACATTTTAGCTTTCTCGCGGGGGGGGGTGAGAAATATGATTTCCCTGCACCAACGTTTTGTTCGCTGACAAGATTGCATGATACTCTAAACCCAGAAAAGCATTTAGTTGACTCTTTAAAGAAGGTTTTTGCGCAGTGACCTTCAACCTATGGGCGTAAGGAGAATCGATATTATGCACTACTAACTCAAAATGAGATGACTTCAGGCAAGTAAACATTGGAACAGTTTAATATTGAAACTCTCACGGGCGTTTTTTAGTTAATAAATGACCGCCTCTTTAACTTAACTTTTTCAGGGCAATGAACTGCTCCTCATGTGATTTCCAAATAGTATTCAGTTTCAGAAAAAAGACAAATTGAAATGAAAATTAGGGCATTCTAACCCAACTGTGTCCACACAGTAGGGTATGCCCAACTTTGGTTGGAAAGAAATATTTTAAAAAGAATAAGGACATGGCCAAACAATAAGTACATGTATTGTGACATCGTGTCGAGATTGAAATACTGTAAAAAGATTAAGAGTATGTAAAAAAGAAAACTGATCCAAGAAAATGAGCGGGGGGGGTAGCAAGATACGTGGGATGCACAGACGTCAGTCGGATTAAGTCATCCCATCCATGACATGAAATCAAAACTCTTTAAAACTGGTAATAGCCCAGTTCTTGCTATTTCATTCAAATGCACTCAGGATAGGCAAAGTTGGGCATGCCAAGCTAAGTCGTCAATATTGTTGTACGTCTCGAGATCTGGTCTCGAGACCATTTTCTGCGGTCTTGGTCTCAGTCTCGCCCTGGCAAAGTCTCGGTCTTGGGAGGGCCAGTCTCGGATGCCATAGTCTTGGGTCTCCCGACAAAGTGGGCCGCAGGTCACCGCCGCCAGTCAACATTGCTCATCAAGCTTAAAAAGACAACCCAGCGCAGGAACAAGGGGCACACATGGAAAACCTTTCGACCATGAATAGGGCAGCATTATGCGAACTTTGAATACCTACTGTGGACTATTCCATTAGCTTCAAAGGGGGGTCAGCTTGCAATACAACGAACGAATATACAGAGTGAGTCTCTCCTCCATTGTCTTATATAATTCCAATTGTATTGCAGGTAAGTACTTTGAATAATTGGGGAATTCTGTAATCAATTGTACAGCGCGCGAGGCACACAGTAAATGGCGCCCTCTATTGATGAAATAAATAGCACCCTCTGTTGATCTTTTTAAACAACCTCGGTAAACTGGACGGCGCCCTCTATTGGCATACATATTACAACTCATAAAAACCAACAGCGCCCTCTTGTTTATGAAAAATGGAAGTAACGCCCTCTGTTGAAATAAAAATCAAAATAAAAAATGAAATAGCGCCCTCCTTTGAAACAAATTCTAAAATTAATTGTTAAGAATGCAGAATCACTGCACCCTCTATTGATCTCTTTCAGACAATTGCGGTCAAGTTCAGTGCAGTTGTGATACGTAAAATCTACAAGCGAGAATCAATACTGCCAACAGAATATGAATAACGCAGGCAAGAACGTGACAGTTGTGAGCTGGACTAAGAAAAACAAATGCATCAAAGTGTCTTAATCAATTTTGAACGAAGCAAATTCTTTCTTTCATTTGAAGCAGGTGGCACTAGGCTCTTTTCACATGCTTGCATAAATACTACATTCAAATTTGGCAGCTGTATTCAACAATTTCATTTATACTGTATTCAAAATTCCTATCCGCGGTAAATCAATCACCACGAACTGTGAACAGTTCGTTTTCAAAGTAGAGAATTGAACAAAGCAACGAAACGTTACTGCTGCAGTGTAGAAAGACTTCATGAAAAAAACAACTGATATATAAAGAGAAAATTTTATGAATTAATTAAGCATCATAAATTCAAAGGGCAATACGTTTCCTTGTTCAAACAAACCTTATGGCAAGCACACTTCTTTGAACTATTTATATACAACATAAATGACTTGCACAGCTTCAATCTCAAGTTTAACAAGGTAACATTCATGCCAATCCAAGAAAGTAAATACGAGCTCATTCCATATATGCACAGACTATAATCCAAGGAGACACCTGTACTACAGACGCACCATATTTGGGCGAGTGTACTTCACTTGAGCGCACCCACACTTTGGCTAAGTCACAACCTCCTATTGGTCAGAGACGAGGAAAGTAACAAGTATTTACCACCTGGAACAGGATGGACCCACCCTCATAATGGCTTTAAGTTCTGGTCATCGGTGATTGTCTCATGGCTGTGTCTGTGTCCTAGTCAATGAATCGATCTTGGCTCGTCGGGGGCATTTCTGGTGTCAAACTCTCTCGCTGAGCTTGAGTCAGAGTTGCTCGCATTCAAGCTGGCCCCAGTTCTTGCCAACACTGATTGAGACTGGTAGAGGTACCTGCAACAAAGTTTTAAGAAATTGATTGGAACACAAAACATTTTGCTTGAGTATAAAGCAAAACACAACCAAACAAACAAATTCCGCATGACTCGCTTTGTACCTGTAGTTGAGCGTGAACGCCGCAGTGAAATTCGTTCACCTCCATTGCAGACTTAACGAGTCCTGAAACAAAACAGAGAGAAAAAGCTTTCATGATCTCAACTGAACATTCACAACTTTTAACATCTTCGGTTTCACTGGATTAAATTTAAAAAAAATTCATACCTCACACTAGTAAAGATGAAAAGCTCCACATCTGTACTCTGTCCAGTCTCAGGGAATACACGAATACATGCAACAAACAAGAGGAAAAAACCTACGACAGAAAAATGTAGCAATGCTCCTGACCTTTGACCTCTCCGACATCACTGTCAGCAACCTCCAGTAACAACTCATCGTGAATCTGAACAAGTAGTCTGCAGAGAGACAAAAAAAGATGATCATGACTTGCAATGGCCTGTACCAAACCTGAAGGTGTAAATTTCACCTAATCAAACCTGAAGGTGTAAATTTCACATGAAAGATTCAAAAGTTTGTTATTTAATCTATAGTCTCAAGTTTTCAATGTTATACAGTCATGCTCTTTTAGAATTGAAGCTTATGAACATCAAATGATGTTGAATACTGTAATACCTAGCTTTGAGATCAGGTCGAGCTGCCAAGGCACGCACAACTTGGATCATGGCCACCTTGCATATGTCAGCAGCAGACCCTATGACAATAATAATCAAACCCTGACAATTTTGTAATTGATAACCAAAAAAGCACAAGTGTCCACCACTACTGTCAACTGCACCTGCTGTTGGTACAGGACAAAAAAGCCCACAGCGTCTCTGGCCATGTCTTTATTACCTGGCTGTGGCTAAGAACAGCATGTAAGCCTATGGTATAGCCATTGGCAAGTAGCAGAAGCCACTTCCCACAGACACATGTGCTATTAGAAGTCATCCAGGTGTAAAAAGTAGGATTTCAGAGAGGCTCCATTACTTCCATACTCAAAGTGGTATTCAATTTCTTAAGCAAGAACTGAAAAAAAATGGACAATAGTTACTCTTCACACAAATTTTCAGTTTTCTGTCTTTATATGAAATAATAATGTTCAGGCTTTAAAAGATGCTACCAAAAAAATGACAAATTCATGGGTACCAAAAATGGCACAGCTTCTGAGACTTTCAGGCAAATCTAACAAGAGTCATGAGGGAGGGTACTTGATTTGGCAGGAAATGACCCCTCATCAATGAACATCAGAAATATCTGGTGTTTACCCAGGTCCCGAGTCTAACTGGCCATTTGTCCACCTACCCTGCACCACAAAATTGACGCACTGCCTCTCGGCGTGGGAGCGGGCATGGAACTCGGAGGCATTAATGCTGGGAATGAGGCGCCTCCGTCGAAGGATAGTCTGAATGAAGCCTTGCTGCTGACAGCAGGAGGTGCAGGCCCTGGTGAAGGAATGGACACCTCGAAACGTGCCTGGGTATCCAAGAGGACAATATCCAGGGGTCAATGAGGAGTCTTTGATTGATGGGCACAGGACATAATGTAAACCTCATGAATATTCAGTCAGCCCCAGTCTCTGATTGGTCAAATCAGATACTTTCAACAAAAATGGCACGCTATTAGTATAACTTGATTGGCTGGAAAAAACTGCCTGTTATTTCTACTAAAACCAGTTATCAACTTGATCACTTATTATAAATGGCTTTTATCACAGGCCACAAAATTCAATGAAATCTTTTACATCCACTTGACTGCAAAAATGCTCATAGCTTACTGCATGATTATTTGACAGTGACTGACCAAACAGCAACATGCTTTTCTCAATCAGTCACTTGGTTACCTGTTTATATCTCCCTATAAACATACTTTAAAGCTAACTATCCTACTTTTTAAACTTATTCAGAAGATTTTCGGAGCATCAAAGTATCATTCATAAGGAACAGTTCCTTCACGGCATCATGGCTGTTCCTGGAACCAAAGAATACTCACCAAGGAAGCTTTTGGTGAACGTCTTGGCCTCCTCGCGGCTAACGCTGAGAGTCTCGGCCAACTTGTCTGGTCCTATATCAGAAATGCGAACAACAAGTGGCAAATGTATTATCAATGAATGAAATGTCTGCATTAACTGTGTGGTAAAGGTCTTTGTAGGTACAACAATTGTTTCTATTGCTTTTACCTACCCCCTTACAGACTAAGCTATATCAATAAGGTTAACAATTTACTGGACACAAAATGGCAAACAATTTAAGTGCACCCCAACAGCAATAAAACAACGGCTGCATGCATCACTCTATTTGACTTCCATTTTGTGCCCAACTTTGTGGCCACCATCGTGGTCATGTCGTCAATGTAAGTGTCCATGCACAGCACATGCACAGATGTGCAGTTTTCACCAGCAAGGCTGTGCTGAAGGTATGTCCAACGACTACATGTACATAGATAGAGAATGGGTGTGTGAAACATTATTGCCCTGTCGTTACTTCTTCCACCTACCAACTCCATAGATCACCGAGTAGACAATCCTCTTTGTCTTTTCCCTCTCGGCGCTGGTGACACTAGACGTAGGCACACCAACCCTACAGGGAGTGAACAAACACTCGACATCAATGATAATCGTTGTGCTTGAAAAGGCACACCAACCCTACAAGGAGTGGACAAACACTGGACATCACTGATAATCGTTGTGCTTGAAAAGGCACACCAACCCTACAGGGAGTGAACAAACACTGGACATCACTGATAATCGTTGTGCTTTGAAAACCCTTTGGTGTTCATTTATATCTCCAATTGATGTCCCCATTACTAAACGGGAGTTGTTTAAGTAAAATGACAGGCAAAAGCCACATGCGACCAAGACAGCATGCCTCATGCAATACACAAACTTCTTTGGGGACGATCATCTGGTACAGATGATGTGCAGGTCGCTTTTGCTAATGCTGCCAAATTTTTGTACGGACAAAGGAGGTATTGGAGTGTCACCCCTTTCCTACCTACGTACAGCATCTTTGCAGTTAGGGCATATTTTATACACAGAGGGGCAGCAAGTCCACCATTTTCGAAACTAATCTGCTCCAAGTTTTTAATTTCTGGATCTTGGGCACTGGTCAGAATATCACTGCTTTAAAAGTCGGCCATCACACGTGACCAATCCTAAAAAGTAGGGCCACCAAGTACCATTGCCAAGAAATCTTTCAAAGATAGATAATACCAGCAGGTCAAGCAGATACACCAGCAGAAGTAAACATGCATCATTAGCAGAAAGACCCTAAAATCTGCTCTGTTTACCGGTGAGAAGTCTCAAAGCCTTTTCTTCCAAATTTGGCTGTGATTTTGTTTGAGTGACAGCTCTAGAACACAATAATGGAGCATATATAGATGTCAATGTGGAATAATTGCAACCTGTGTTCTTCAAAGCACATGGGACAACAACAGGGTCATGGGGGCTGATTGAATGGGTGAAGGATGGACACATACCACTGAGATGCCAACTCCACAAAGATATCTGTGCAGTCTTTCTTGTTGAAGGCGCGCACCAGGACAGGATCGTGGGATAGGTGTGCCAGGAGACGCAACTCAATCGACTGGAAGTCTGCAAAAAAAGCAATTACAATTCAGTTTTTCTGCAAAACCATTCCAATTTTGGTTACATGAAAGTATCATTTGTAATGTGCATTGTAGTGGTTTTTGCACCCATTAACAGCTACCATAGCTGCTGACCGATATTTCAAAATTGCCAAACCCATGCAGTACATGTGATTGATGTCCAACAAAGTATGCGCTTGTATTATCCTGGATGTATGGGGTTTGTTGGTCACTCAGTCTCACTCTGCTCTGTTTTTTGCTAGACTTTGAAGCAGACTACATCTCACTGAATGATTTCTTTAACAACCTATTTGTTATAAGATTTGCCGTATTCTTTGACATCCATGCCTTGCCCTGCTCATTTTTGCTTACAATATTTGTCATCAAACTGTTGATTATTGCCAGAAATCAGCAGCGTAAAATAAAGGCAGAGGAAATCAATATAGGCAACACTGAAACCAACAAGGCCACCGATGATGACGATAATCAGGTGGTCCAACCAAGGAGACCCCACTCCTGGAAATCAACAAAATATTTGTGTAATCATCGTGGCATGGGTTCCCTGTAACATCGCAACCAACATTGCCTGTTTCCAGGACAGTAAGTCAAACATCGTTTCAGTAGTTTTGTCTTTGCCGGTGTCTCCATTTTTCAGATGATCTTGGGGGTACTGTTTCTGACATACGCCCTACGTGAACACAAAGGGGTTCTGTGTAATGCAGGCAAAGCTGTCACATACAAACTTAAGCGATGAACTAACTGCTGATAGGGAAAGCCATGTGAATTCTCTAAAAATTTCCTAGAAATAATTCTTTTTTTTTAGACAAATGTTCAGACTGATAAATCAAAGACGGCTGGTTGGATTTCCGAAACCAAAAAGATAACAGTAAGCTTCAAATGCTGTTTCCTATAATAGATACTTTAATTGAATATGATGTCTCTAAAGGCAAACTCTCATTTCAAAACTGACCTTATCAAAGTTAAAGAGGTGATTTAAGAAAATTTGGGTCAAGTGTTGTGTTTATCGAAAATTCCTCAAACAGAGATATTTATTATCTCTGTTTTATTAAATTGATGCTCATATTAAAACAAGACATGCACGAAGGGTCATTATACTTTGCATGACCTGTCAACTTGGCCACCAGACATAATGTTGAGAAGGAAAAAAATTGAAGCAAGCACCATCAAAGTGAAAGGACAAACGCTACCCTGCTCCCATTGGTCGGAGTCAACAGAATAGCTCAGTAGGAGAATTTGATGAATTTGTGTATGTTATAAAAACTACGCCGTTGCCGCTGATACTGCACAAGTTTTTATGAATAATTTTCCTGGTGGGTGTTGCCATGGATATTTTGATCCGAATGAACATCCTGCGAGATAGACAGCATCTCCAACGACTGCAAAATCTCTCCAGTCGATGATAAAACTGTCTACAGTGGTGATTAGTTTCGCATGCAGAACCACAGCATTGAGGGTAATAGAAACTGGACATTTCTATGGTTCTTGAACAACTGATGTAATATTTCTGCCTTTCACACACCAGAGGTTTCTGATTGGCAAATGCCATTATGCATCCACCACATCAATGGGCCCATATCCACTAGGTGAGCCTTTCTAAATCCAGCTGGAATTATCTCTTGACAAAAAAAGCTTCATGACAGAAAATGAGGACAGGGGCTGATGCCGCTTAGTAACCATAAATGAGGTGTAGAAATATTAGTTGGTGCTGCTGGGAAAATTGGCAGTTGTTTGACTGAGATGCTACTGCCACACATCAGTTGCAACCTTCGCATACACTCTCTTCTCAGTAGGCGTTCCTTGAGGCAGCCAAGAGAGATGGGTCTAATGTTACTGCACCTTTGTTGAACTGCATGTATGATGCTAATCGCTGGCGCCCGTGCTGCACCTGCTGAAAAAGAAGGTATACCCCCTTGCATGGCACTCAGTTTACAGAAAGACTGAACAAGATTTTTAGACCATACATGTACCTGCATTCTGCCGAGCTACTGACCCACAAGACACGCAGTATATCTGCCCTGAGCCGAAGTGCACCACCAATCGGTGAAAAGAAACACAGGTGGTTACAAGCAGGTTCTTGCACGCGTTCTGCGTGTACGCAAAGACCATACATGCTGGAGTAAATTAGTTAAGCGTACTCAGCGTGCTCCTCGTCAAACGCGCATATACTTGCGCACCTCATGGTGTGCCTATGCGGTGAGTACCTAAAAAACACCCTCTTTCGTTCCGCTCGGAGTGGATAATCAGGTCTTCTGAGTCAGAACCTGAACAGTTGGGAGTGTGTCGGGAGAACTGGACCCGCCACACAGTTGTCTTCATTCAAATGCAATCAAGCAAGGAGAGAAGAGCTCCGGGGGACTCTTGCAGCGACAGGAAACAGGCTACAAGTTTCTGGCCAGGCCGACAAGACAACAGGAGGAGGATCAAACTAAATGTACCTTCTGATGGAAATAGATAATTCAGACTATGCGACAAACAATTGAATTTATTTGCGTCTCGGAGGAACCATCCAGTGGATTACAATGGAGCTGAATGCCACGTCACCTCCCGATGAAACATGTATTAATATTCCTGCATCTGCCAGAGCCGTTGCCATTGCCGTAGCAATAATCACATCTTTTATTTACCTCTGGATCATTTTCGCTGTTGTTTTGTCTCCAAGACTCAGAAATCCATCCAACTTTTTTCTGGTGAGTTTACTTCTTGATAAATTGCTGTGTATGATGGGACTACTTGTTTACAATTCTTTATCTCTGCAAAAACATTTGAATTTCAGTCACATGAAAAGATCACTTTTGATGTCAATCATAACAATGGCTGCAGCCATCTCTGGCTATTTCTTAAATTCAACCGTTGTTGCTGCTGACCGATATTTCAAAATTGCCAAACCCATGCAGTACATGCGACTGATGTCCAACAAAGTCTGTGCCTATATTATCTTGTTGCTGTGGGGTTTGCTGGTCATTTTCACGACTGGTCTGTTTTTGGCTAGTTTGGCTGACTTTCCAGCAGAATACATCTCAATTCATGATCTTTTCAACAACTCATCTTTCATGATGAAACTTGCTATAGTTTTTGATGTTTATGTAGTTCCCTGCTTATTTCTGATCACAGTATTTGCAGTTGGACTGGTCAGTATAGCCAGGAATCAACAGTGTAAAATCCAAGCAGAGAGAATGAACCTAGGAAACATTGCAATAAATAACCCAACCAATGACAACAATCAGGCGCAACGACTTAAGAGGGACTGTCCAATCAAATCAATGAAATATTTATGCATTTCTATTACCACAATCATTATGGCCTGGGTTCCTTTAGTCGTCACAATCAATATTTCTGCTTTTCAAGAGAGCCCTTCATTCACCATTCAAATACATGTGGTGCTGTTTATTGAGACTGGTATTTCCATGTTACAGATGACATTTGGGGCATTGTTTCTGACTTACACACAACGGGAACACAGACAAGTTTTGTTTAATGCATTCAAAAAAATCAAGGACAAACTAATTTGAAAGTGAAAAACTGAACACTGACAGAAATAGCTGCACAAATTGTCTAACTTACACAATAGCATACCTTTCAGTGAGCAGCACTCATTTATAAAGGGAGAAATAAGTATTTCAGAAAGCTGAATGTAGTAGACAGACAGGACAGTTTTGATTTCTTCAGGGAAAACAAACAAAGGCAATAAATAAGAAATTTCACTCTTGAACTGTGGAATCAGTCTGATCTGTCTTTGAGAACACCGTGACTTAAACTGACGTCATTAAATGTCAGGAACACAAGGAAAACCCAAGCCAAATCAGATGAAACAGGAAATACCTCATTGATCCTATAAAAAAGCTGTCAGTCTGAAAATCAATGATTAACACAAACCTGCCAAATTCTGTTATTAGCAATAAACTGTGTGAAATCAAGTCACAAAAGTGACAGATAACTATCAAATTGGAAATGTTTAATTGATAAAATTGAGCAAGTCTCACAATTACAAAAGCCATTGCCTATTCCCAGATTTCTAGAATCATGTGTCCTTCCAGGATCAACAACCACATATCTCATTTACTTCTGGGTTATTTTCTCTAGCATTTTCTCTCCAAAACTAAGAAAAACATCCAATTTTCTTCTGTTAAGTTTATTTCTTGAAGAATTGCTTTGCACAAGATTAATAATTACTTTGTCATCAGACTGGAGGTCATTGCCAGAAATCAGCAGCCTAAAATAGAGGCAGAGAGAACTAACCTAGGCAACATTGCCACCTACGAACCCCCCCCCCCATGTTAATCAGGTGGTTCAGCCAAAAAGGGCACCTCTGCGTAAATCAACAATATATTTGTGCATTTACTGTACCATGATCGTTGTAGCATGGGTTCCCACTACCATTGGAATCCACGTTGCCACTTTTCCTCAGAAACTAACGGACACCTTGTTAATAGGCCAGTTTATTACGACAAGTATTTCTTTGCTGCAGTTATCCTTTGGGGCACTGTTCCTGACTACACAACAAGAACACAGACAAGTTCTGCTTAACACATTCAAAACCGTCAAGAACAAACTGGTATGAGTAGCTGAATGCTGACCGAAAAAGAGGCATGAATTGCATTAGGTCAGAGGAAGAAATCTGATAATGAGAAGTACACATTTCTAAATGGAACAATGCAATATTTCAGATTCATTCTAAAATCTAACGGGGAAGAAAAGCGAAAAGTTTGAAAAGTTTGCTCTTTAGACTGCTAGATTTCAAATAGAAACAAATCTCGAGGGCATAAAATTTTGCCACAGTTCACCTTCCTCTTATTGGCCGGATTTTTCCCATCTGTTATATAAATAGAGTTCATGAGAATTAGTAGCCAGGTTTCTCCTGGTTGTGGCTACTCTTTATGTACATGTACCTGTAGATGCATTTCATGTAGATGCACAAAGTAAATGCAACTCATGTTCAATAAAGTAACGCATCTGTATTATTTGAACTCTATTATTTTCAATAATTTT